ACAAGTCCAGGTAGATGACATCAGTTGCTTCCCTCCCCACCTTTCCAGTTTAAAGACACCAAGCAGTGAAAACACAGGGAAGATGTTCATATTTATGTGTTTAGTATTTAAGCATCCAGCTTTCCTCCTGTATTGCCTCACCTCTTAAAATAAAACAGTACATGTTCATATTCGTTTTTTATTGTGTTCTTGAAGAAGAGTAAAATTAAATGTTTTAAGTCTTCTAAACTATATTCAAAATTCTTTTTAACACTTCTCTTACCCCACGATAATTAAGGGACAACCTCAGAGTCTAAAACTTGCAGATACTCAAGTAAGGCAGCTGGGTGACTTAAAGGAACTTGTCATTTTTCTAAAATTACATTTTGGTAAATTCTGTAGCTAAACTAGAGTTTTTATAGGTGATTTTCCAACTGCTTCAACGAGTGGTAAGAGACATAATTGCTGTTTTACTCACATGAAGTAGTCTGGTTGATCACCTGTTGATGATGGAGGATTTGTGGAGGCAGTGCAAGTTTCTTTAACTCCTACAGAAAAGCAGAATTTTGACACTTGAGATAAACAGCTTTTTAATACAGACAAACAATACCAACCTGATGGGCTTAAAAAAAAAATCCTTTAGAGTTTTATTGTCACAGCAGATTACTGACAGAGCCTATTCTAAGTCAATAACAGGGCTCAGACAACCTTCTCCACAGCAGACAGTACCGGGGTTTAGAAAGAGGGCACGGCTACTTTATTCCACAGGTTCTGCTCTACAGCAGTATTAACCCCAGGTCAGCTTTTCTTATTTGAAGTCCTGATGTGGCATCTGCACAGCAATTCAAGTTATGCAGCAACAGATGTAGCTGCACAAAAGAGGACAGCTTGATATTTATGTATACATATATATATCTATATATCAAGCATCCGGGTTCCAGTGAGAAATAGGAGTAGAAAGCTGAAGTTCTTTTTATGCCACGTTCTTATCGCTCCTTCCCTGCCAATTACAGGTAGACAAAGTTAGATTTAATTTCAATGCTCTTCTAAGCAGGGAAGTCAATAGCATCCTATAGGGGTTACTGGCATTCAGGCTTCAATAAGCTGCAACAAAGACTTGCTCCTCGTTAACGTGGCAATACGGGGTTTTAAAGTTACTTGTACTTGTAAATTGCTCTTTTGCTCTTTTAAATGGCATTATGAAAGCACAGTACACTTAATCTCTAATCCCCCTTTTTAAAGGAATATTTCAAGAGCCCTTTATCTTTTTGACAAATAAGAAAAATAGCCACTGTAAAGAAAAATTATCTGGAACAGGAACACTCAGTATCTTGGTAATCTCTCGCTGCTTTGCATTTGGGGTTTTGTGGCAAGCTTAAAAAACACACAATCTTTTATATTCATTATTATCTTACATCGCCACTGTTTAAAGACAGTATTTCTGCTAAATCTCAGCCACACTGGCCAGTCTTTAAGCTATTTGAGCCTTAAGTCCTGGGGAGAGAAAAGAGCTATCATGTGACGTTCTACCTGATTCTTTTGTTTTTAATATTAAAATTATTATGTGGTATAGCAGGAGTATAAAAAGAAGTGTAAAAGTGGGAACAAAATTTGAGAGAAACGCAAACAGTAATATTCATAGTCACAGTATGTTCAATACAGCTTATGTGAACAGTTGTGCTGTGAGCATTTCATTTCCAAAAATTCAAGTGCGTTTGTTGGCACCAACTTGAAACGTAGGACAGATTTTTCCTTCCTTAGCTGTTCAGAATTTTGTTACTGGCTTCCAGAGAAAGATGCTCACGTGTTTATAAATTCAAACAAGAATATTTGCAAAGCAATCCCAAGCCATGTGGCTTCACAGTATGTCCAGGGTAAATGTGAGAAGACTATCTCAAAGCATCCTTATCTACAAGCACAACACCATTTCAAAGAGGCACCTCCAACACCCTAAGGGCTGTGATAGGAAAGGGCTCTAATCCTGGCTTCTAACGTGCGAGTCAAACCTCTGAAATCAGACAACACACAGGTTTAACAAAGTAACTGAACTCTGCACTATTTTTGCGTGTATGTGTTAAGAAATCAAGTATTCTTTGTGCCTCTCTGCTTAGCTTTTCAATGCCATTTTAAGCGTGCACCATTTTTACATCTTTTGAAGTCGTAAATCCTGCAGCTATAGATGGAGAAGAGCTTAGAGCACAGGTAAAACTGAAACTGCAGTCAACAACATGCCAGCTGATGTAGGTTTCAGACTTTCTACAAAAAGGCAGAGTTCAATGTGTATCACAATCACGTATTGTGACACCTGATGAAATACATTTATGTCTGATCTGTGTATTTCAGTAAACTAGCATGCAATAAGTACGTGCGACAGGTTTTTATTTTCAGCATGCAGACTTTAAAATTTGCTGATGGAAGAGGCAGAGTAAGTTTCAGTAAACTGTCAGTTTACTGGAAATCAAGCAAAAAAACAAATCCATTCCTTGTGTTTTTCTAGTACCTAGCTCTTCCTTGTAACTGGTTTCTGTCCAACAGCAATCCATTTGAGATTTCTTTGTTTTAATGATTTTTTTTACTACAGAGTGAGAATTCTTAAAAATAAACCTAATTTTAGCTCAGGTTCCAGCAGAACAAGTCCAGTTTCTGGGGTTTTTTTGTTGGCTTTTTTTTTTAAACTAACAGTTACGATGTAATGCAATGGCAGAAAAAACCCCACTAATTCTTCATGGCTATAAAATAGGGATAACAGCAAAGCACTTAATATATAGCAAGTGAAAAAACAGACCATCTGTGTATCCAGTCCCTGGTTTTACTGCTCCCTTTTCACCAGGGTTACCCATATAATAATTAGAAAAGCAGCGTATCAATACCTTCATGTGAATCCAAATAGGAGGATTTTTTCAGCTTGGCAGTTTCTTCTTTTCTAAGGTCTTTCTCCTCTTCGCTCACACTCATAGTGTCCTGCATTTTGCCTTCATCCTTCTCCTTATGCTCTTTTACCTTCTTGCATTTTTGGTGCAACACCTCATGCTTCCCACCCATAGGTTTGTGAGGTTCCACCTGCACCGCGGCAGGCGCTGGGATCCCCAGAGGAGTCTGAGAGGTATATTTTTGTGGCTGGTCCTCAGAGATGCTACTTCTGTTTTGACTAAAGTTGTCCACCGGCAGGTCTTGTGTCCCCCCTTGCCCCTCAGGGCTGTCGGAGGAGATGGAGCTGGTAGTTTGAAGAGGGTTGGAAGCGTGAAGGAGGTTGGGAGGTAGCGTCAGAGCAGCGGGAGTGGCGGGGGGGGGGGGGGGGAGCGGGGGGAGGCGGCGGAGGGGCGGCAGCAGCTTTCTCGCTGGAGGCAGGCAAGCGGCCACTGAAGAACATTGGGACTCGACTGGTCAGGTGAGATATCCTCTGCTTTTTGTTCACCAGAGGACTGACACAATCGTAATGTAAAAGCCGTTTCTGTAATAATGATAATAAAAAAAATAAAAATCAGAATTAAGTTTTGGAAAGGAGCATTTCTGAACAGGCAAACACTGAAAACACATCTTTCTTATCTAAAAACAGCTGTCAAACAAGGAAGTGCTGCAGCCAAATACATGGCTTATTTCATTCCTAGTTTCTCATCTTATGATTTAGCAAGTTGTTCTTCAAATCTACAGATAAAAGGCTTTGGGAGAAAGATGCTCTCTTCAGCAGTACTATCAAAGACAGAACAAGGGGTGATGACTTGAAAGTGGAAGAGGGGAGATGGAAATGAGATGTGAGGAAGAAATTCTTTGGTGTGAGGGTGGTGAGCCAGTGTCCCAGGTTGGCCAGAGAAGCTGTGGCTGGTCCTCCCTGGAAGTGTTCTTGGCCAGGTTGGATGAGGCTTTGAGCAACCTGGTCTAGTGGAAGGTGTCCCTGCTGCTGGCAGGGGGGTTGGAACTGGGTGAGCTTTAAGGTCCCTTCCAACCCAAACCAGTCTGGGATTCTATGACCAAAGGTTTCACCAAAACAAGGAGGTCAGGTTGCTACTGTTTAGATGCCCATTTCCCTTTGGACACACCAAAGTTAAGAGTCTAGCAAGCGGGCACTGCTCACACTGATGTACAAGCGGTAGCTTGGACCAGCAGTGCCAGGCATGGCTCTGGGCCACCCTGCTGAAGTAAATCCTGAATCTGTGTGTGCAGAGGCAGGTGTAAAAAGGTCCCTGAGACCTGCACCATTTCATGCTCTGACTGGAAGAAATTTAGGGAAAAGAGAGCTGTGCCCTCCCTACTCTATTTAAATGTAAGTATCTCAGTGGTGAAAGACCTTCTGTACTTCCCACCTTATCTCTGTGCACTGAAGAGCAGCTTTAGTTACAGAAAGTATCAAACTTTTCCTTAAAGTAATGCCTCTTATGTAGAGTTTTCCAAGCTTATTCTAAAAGGGTTTGCATTGTCCTCTTGTATCAATAAGAAAACGGGACATATGCATTTTAAGTCTGAAAAGTCTGGGGGAAGGCAGGCATTCTATGGGGTGATTCAGATCTGCCTTTTCTCACCTGAGGTACCCTGAATCAAAATGGGTGCTTAAATGATGCCTATAGGAAAAAAAACAAACCAAACCAAACCAAAACATTCCTCCAAGTGGATCACTATTGTAACTTGTCCTTATTTCCTAAGCTTTACATTTAAATAGCAGCAGAAGGATGTGTGTGCATATTTAATGTATGATAACTACCATATCACAAAGAACCTTGAAGACATGCAATCATGTAACAAAAATATCTATATATCTTGTCTTTAGAAGATCTTCCTACACACCAAGACAAACAAGTTCTGTGGCAATGCAAACCAGCTGTAAGTATTACAACTTACTTACAACAGTTCTAAGTATTAACCAGAAAGAACAGGGTTGTGTAACAATAACGAGTAACCAAGAAGTCCAGCAGGTGAGTTTAAACTCCACAGGTGAGTTTAGGCTTCTGAAGGTCAATGTGCTATGGATGGACAGTTACAATCTAGGCCAACGTGTTGGCTGTTCAAACACGACAGGGCTGGTTTCTGCCAAAGATCTAGGTATATTTACAAAACCCTGCATAGACAGGAATTGTTTCTTTTTCTGAATATTTTAATAAACACTAAATATAGCAGCCCTTAAGCTACATGGCCATACATTTTCTTTTTTTTCCATCTTTGAAAGAGAAACTATCTATAAAAAAAATATAATAATCCAATTAGAAATAAATGCTTCAGTTTTTCATGTGTTAAAGACAGTATTAGTGCTGCACAGCACAGCTTTTACAGCAAAATAAACTGTGATAAATCTTAATACACTGTAAAAATGTCCGAAAAATACAAAATACCTGAGAAGAAGATGATGGAGCATCTTTATTAGAAGCTACAGGAGACTCCAAGTGGCTGGTGCTGGTGGCATTCTGAGATGAATTTAATTTTCTGTAAGGACGACCCAACACTTCAGGTTACAAGGTAAAAATGTCTATGCCAGAGTTCTTTCATTAATAGGGAAGATAGGCACGCATTTCCCAGAAAAAGTTTTTTAAATGGCTACTTTCCTTCCCCTAGAGACTGAACTTACCTAGAAAGTATTAACTCCAATGACTGTTTATCTATTTCATTGTATCCAGGCCAATCTTTTTGTATTTCTTTAAATACATAATCCTTCAGACTGTAAGAATTATCCTTTGGATTCAGGCTGGCTACCTACAGGCAGACATTTAAGAAAATAAATGTTCATTATACCTAAATGCAAACTACAGAAATAAGATTGGTACTGCAAAGCTAAATCAAAACTGAAAACGAAATCACGCACCAGTTTTCCAGGTGTTTTAGATGTGAAGATCAAAGCAGCTCTCACGTAATGAGCACCAATTTTAAAAAATATGGTCAGTATGGGATATAGAAATTCAGATGTAAAAAAATCCCAAACTGCTGCAAGCATATATGAAATGTACTCTATGAAAACCTCTCTCCATACCATGTATCTGGGGTTTTTTTTGTCTTTTATACAGCATTGAGAGTGAAGGCAAACTATGTAAAAACTTCAAATCTTCACTGCACGAAATATGTTGAGGCCTAATTTTTATTTACATATTTTTATTTATTTATTTTGATTTCTTAAGAACTGAAGAACACTATCTGTTATCTCCAGGTACAAATGCAGAGTTGTTCAACTTCAGGAGGACACCTGCTGTTCCTTTGTTTCACGCAGCAATACTGTGATGATAGAGCACAGACCGTGCCTCGAACAATACGTGTTTTCCATCATCACGTTAACGACCGCAGTGTGTCATCATCTGTCTTGATAAACAGAATTGCTTTTCTTTTCTTTCTCAAGTGCCTGAGCCACAAGAAACTACAGCTTTCTACTGAACAATCACACGGAATAACTAACTGGCACTAAACTTCTGGTAGGAAGATCAATTATTCATCTATCCCATTAGTTTTAAGTCGTATCAAAATTTTACTGATTGTGAAAAAAGTCACTACTTATATCTAATTAGCTATATTTCGAAAACAAGATTTAGTGCTAAAACAGTTCAGGAGAGGTGTACAGGTCCAGATGCACTCTTCATTTTGCAGACACAAGGTTCATTAGAGCAAACCACTGTCAGGAGTGCATGCCTTGCTATATACCTTTGAAAATAAAATGGGTTTAGATCTTCCTTCAGAAAAATACAAGGTATACTCAGAAAATTAAAAAGAGCTCATAAAACCTTGAGACCATTGACACCTACGGTACTATTTTAGACTTCATCATCTGACACCTGTCCAGAGTTTCAGAGAAAACCTCCAAGAAACCATTCTCCATCAATCTGCCTGATGCAAAATGCTCAATAACTCATCAATGCACCAACACCACTTTTTGAAGCTTTGCCCATTTTTTCCTCCAAAACATTATAGATAAACACTGCTAATTCACATCTATGTGCATGTCTGTCTGCCCCAAGCTTAAAAAAAATCAGAAGTAACAAAGATACCCAGAAACAGTAATTCACTTCTTAAAAACAAAATTAAAGCTGTATTCTAAGAGAAGCATATTCGATTTTATCAGGTTCAAGCTGGTGATTTTAGATTTGTACAAAAAAAACTTCATTAGGAAGATAAGAACAAGGTAAGCAAGGCTTTTCAGGGTGCCGTGCTGCTAATGTGGCCATTTCTGAACGCAAACCAGTGCCTTGAGGTAGGTCACACCACATACAGGAACCATTCTCCAAAGAAATCTCCTTACAGGTCGTCAAGCGTAAAGGGACACGATCAAATCCCTGCACCTTTTATCCTCCAGGCATCTGGGCTTTTCGAATTTTATAACCAACTTAAAATACAAGTTGATTACTCCATGTGTAAGCACGTGGCTTTTGTTAAATTGTGTATGCCTTCAGGGTGAAAAAACTGGCATTGCACTGGGCAAACAAAGCAACAATACTTATATAACATATTCATGAAATGAGTTTTTAAAATTCAGTGTAGGATCAACCAAAGCTGCACAAATGTTGAATATTACTCACTTTAATAGGCTCCAATCTTTTTCCAAGATAAATAGGAAATATTCCTACTTAACATATTAATACATGCATAATTCAGCCACAGTTTATGGGTACCATATTTAAATATTAAGTGAGGAGCCACTGCTCTTTTGATACTTTAAGAAGCCTGTGCTGAACTGTTTTAGTAGAAAATTAATGTGCCACTCTTGAATACAGAGTTTAAAACCTTTATAGGCTTATCAATAATTTTGATGGATATGATAAAGAAATACAAGTGAAATTCAACTCAAATTGGAAAAGATACTGAATAAAAAAAGGTTTCAAGTAAGATAAAGCCACAATCCACGTGATAGCAAAGAAAGATTATGCTCAAAATTGGACCACCACCTTTTTCATTTATGACTTGGCTGGAACACCCTTCCCTGGATTGCAGTTCTAACAGATGCCAAGAGAAGCCAAGTATCATTTACGTGCCACCGACTACGTTTAAATTAAATACTAACTTATGTCATTACTAAACTTCTCTCCTCATAAACTCATCACAAGATACATTAAGTACTATGACAAACTATTCGAAGAGAACGCATGGTCAGGTTCTCTCAATTAAGCAGTTAAGCAGTCCGAGTAAAAGAGAGAGGAAAAAAATGAGAAATTAGGAGCAATAAAGCTAGAAATAATTAATTACTGACTGCTATTCTAGCAAAACAATACACTGCCCCAATTTTCTTTTTTTCTTTCCTTTCCTCACCTTGAATCATGATTTGGGGCATCTGTATAAAGTTGACTGAAAAACTTAAACAAGGAGCATCACGTAAGTTGCTTATTATTTTCTAATTTAAATACAGGAGTAACACACCTCAAATTTACGATTAAAAGAATAGCAGGAGGGAAAAAAATGCCAGCACCTGCTGAAGGATAGTTCCAAGGGAGTTCTTGTCCTTTTGACTGACACCATCTCTATGCAAGCGAGCAAGTAACTCCGGTTTCTTGTAACTCTTCAGTGCCAGTAAGTGAATCACCCTGTCCCTGTATGGTCGCTGAGAAACAGCACTGTGCGTGTGAGTCCTCCGAACTGCGTTTGCAGGGTTCATGGGTGTCGATCTCTTCCTCTCAGGCACACCATCTGGAACGCTTTGTGGTGGTCTTTTGACCTGTAGTCTTCTTCCTGTAGTAAGAGTGGGGGGAAAAAAAAATAAAAATAAAAATAAAGTTACATGGGAAGTTGGGAAAAGGCAAGAAAGTTGATTTAAAAGAATTTACTAAGCTGGATAAACTCTAAAAAATGTATTTAGTTAGTATGTCAAGACTGTAAGAATATACAGGTAGTGAAGATGCATTGAGGTAGGCGTTTAAAATAAATATTCAATATTTTAAAAGTTGTTAAATGAGCAATAATGGTAGGAAGACTTTACTGATTATTTATATAGATGTTTTTATTATTTTTCCAGTTTATAAACTCAAGTACTGAATACCCCAAATCAGGCTTTTTTTTTTTTTTTTTTTTTAGAAGAGTACTTTAAAGCATGATGCAAAGGTTTTCCATATAACTAAAAGATTCCCCATTAAGGCCTTGGGAGACCAAGTCTACACAATTAATCGCATCACTGCCTAAAGAAACCGCAAATGGTGTTAAATCACTTGAGCTACCGTAATTACTGAAATGTTCACCTCTTATTAAATAAGCCCAAATCTGTCAGAAACAGTACACCAAAAATTTAACAGTCCTTGGGATTGCAGACAGAGAAGTTTTAAAACACAGCCTGCACAGCATTTTGCATCAATCTCTTTATAAAAAAAGACCTGTTTCTCAAGCGGAGGAACAACGTAAGTGTTTGCAAGCAATGCATCCAGAATTTAAAAATAACATCATCCAACCTGAATCTTAGTTTTCCAGAAAAAGACCCAAACTTCTCTACTCTGTGTTTTTAAATACCATTTGCTATTGAACAGGAAAAAAAATAAATATCAGAATATTGAAGAAAATAATTGTATAAATACTGTTTGCAATCCAACAGTTATTTATACAATAATTGTATAAATACTGTTATGCAATACCACATAAACTAGGCATTTTTCTGAAACCAACAACTCATGTTTGGTACATGAGGGAGATGTAATGAGGATTGGAGAGAAAATCAGGAGCTTGCTCTCTTCTACCAGACACACAGAGACTTGTTTCCATTCTGCAGTAGAAGCCAAACCTTTATAACCTTTCTACCCTGCACGTTCCCTGGACTTTGCCCTTCTGGTTTTCAAGAACAGACCTAATCACACAAACACACACAGTTACATTTTTAGTACAGTATGAACTTGCCAGTTGTTTACTGAACACATTACAAAGCTTTTGACAAGTTAAATTCAATGTAGATACACAAACCCCTGGCAGAGCGGACAGTGTAAGCAGCATTCAAACAAAACGCCTCCTAAAGTCAGGTCTCTGAATCACTTGGGAAAAAAAAAAATTAACTGAAAACATAACCAAGCATTAACATGATTAACAACCTCAGCTCCTAATTTGTACTGCGATTTGAAGCATGTTCCAAAGTCACCCTCGTGCCCTACCAGCAACTAGACCTGTCCTACCTGAGCTTCATCAATGCCAGCCTGAAACAAAATTATCTCCAAACGCCGTAATTGTCCTACTGCCAATCTTCAGACCCCATTTATTTAATGTGAAATATTCATTTAAGTTCTATTTAAACAACTAACAAGACTCACGCAGATCATTCACATCTAAAACAGAACTTCCCCAACAAGAAGTTTTGAAATGGATGAAAGCGCCTCATTCTCACGTCGCCATTAAAGAGTATTTTAGACAATACCGGGGGGAGGGGGTAAGCGGTCCCAAGTCCATGTCCTGGCACTAACCTGTGCCCAGCTCCCTCAGTGTCAAAGTCACACACTCTTTTTAAGTTTTGTATCTCCAAAAAAGCCATGATGACGCTGGCTTAAAATGATCTGCAGTAAGGTGAGGCAAAGCAAACGTTGCTCCGTCACTGTCGGGGACATCCGGGCTGGCGGAGGACTGCAGCCAAAGCCGAGTGAGAGCCTGTTTTAGTTAATGAAGATGGATGTGTACCTGGTTTAGCTCGCTGCTGCCTGTGCCACTGAGTGCCTACGAGGTGGATGCTCACCTTACCTCTATCTGCAGCCAGCTCCAGGCTCCTCGGGGAAATGGTACTCAGAACAGTTTAATGATATCACCTAAATGCTTTTTCTTCTGCAGAAAATGATGAAATCCATTGGAAGGTGCCAACATTACCTTACTTTAACTTTCTTATTTTTCTTTCTTTTTTTTTTTAAAAAAAAACCAGTCCTGTGGTAACAGTTGCTTTTTAATGACCAAGACACCAAATAAAATTTAATCAGCATTAGCAAGCGTGAAAAGCAAAGTTTTTCTTATCAAGCTTATGAAATTGTGTATGAGACTTCCTCAATGTTAACTTTTTTAGACTAGAAATTAAGGTTAATGGTTTAGCACTGTATGTGGGTACTCAAAAGTGCTGTACAGAAACAAAACATTAGCTACTAAACCAGAGAATTTAAGTGCATGGGGTGGTTAAAAACCCTCACCTCAATGGTCAAAATTTCAACCAGTCAAGCAATATGGGAATAAGGAATGACTGGCAGGCTTTCTTGGGGGAAAAAGCTAATATTTGAATGCAGCAGCAGAAGACTGCAAATCTGTAACATGAGGGTGAGCTACCTACACCCGAGACCTCTGAACACACCACCTTTCCCAAGAACACGCTGAAAAGATGAATTACTGATTTTGAAAAGTTACAGACATCTAGTAGAAAATGAAATACAACCATACCTAAAAATGGTCCACCAGGTTTAATAACCTTTGCACTTCGATTGCGCGACTCCTCTTCTGCCTGGGTCATGCGCTCTCTGGTCGTCAGATAGGAATCACTTGTTGCACATACTGTAATTTTATTCTGTATAAGTCCCAGGCAACTGAGTTGCGAGGCTCCAGAACTATAAAAACATTGAAAAAGGTTGAGCCCAAGCACTAGTTCAGGTTTAGAAGTATGGTTGTATCAGGAACTTTAAAAACCTGTCTTAACAGGTGAAGAAAAACGTTTTCCAGTTCTGACAGCTAGCTAGGGCGTAAAAATAGATTTCAAATTGTCTCTACACATCCAAACTGTATCAGTTTTACCTGTCGGTGCAATTACAATTTCCTCACATAACCATATTTGAGAGGCAGACTCAGGTGGTGGCACTGTTGGTGGCTGTACTGGTAAGTGCCACAATGACAGGGACAACTCGGGCTGTTCCACTGGCACTCTGATGGTGGGCAGGAGGCTTTCCACCAGCCACCCGGCTCTCAGCTCAGCACATGTCTCTTCTTCTCTTCTCTCCTCCGCCTGAGGTGGCCCATGGTGGCCTCAGGCCCTGTGATGCCCAGGAGGACAAGCCAGGGCATCCATCGAGGCCCATGTCCTAGTCTCCCATCATTGTGCTTTCACAGATGTCCAGGAAGAGGCGTTTACAGTGAAGCCCGCACGCAGGGAAGGATGGTGAGGTCTCCTCAGTAGCATCAGGGTGGGTGCTGGGCTTCAGGAGATGTTTCTGGTGGGACCCAACCCTCCATGGTCCATCCAAGCATGCCTGGCTCAAGCATTACGCCCAGCCAGGAGGGCACCTCGTCTGACAAACCGCAACTTCGTTTAAACTGTTCTAATTATCACCGCTCTTAACGAGTGAGCTGCGCAGCCATTGCAACAGCTCTGACCAGAGAACAGGCACCAGTTTTAGCTCACACGGAACGCTTTAACCACCCTAAAACCCTCCATCAAGGCTCCAAGAAGAAGGGTCAAGAATCTCATGTCTCAACTGACAACGTCGTTTCTGAAAGTCACAAAGCAGGACCAAGCTTTCAAGATGATACAGCTACAGTTTTTTCCATAGCCTAGAAGTATGTATTGATCCCTTGCTCTAAAATCAGCACATTTACAACAGAAAAAAAGACCGTTCTTGCCATCTAAAAGCATAGCTTTTACCCACTGCCCATTTCCTTGAACATCACTGCCTTTATGCGCTTTTCCACCAGAGAAGCAGCCAAGCACCGACTGAGACGCTGGGTAATCCCGCTCCTCAGGCTGGCCATCTTTCAAAATCCAAGCCAGATTTATAGCTAGACCTGCCCTGAGCACAAAATTAGACTAGGTACCCTGTAGGTCCTCTCTGGTTTTACATTTTAAAAACGACTCTGTGTGTAACACTACACAAGTTTTGCATTTCATATTGCACAAACCGATAGCTGGCTCCAAAGGACCTCACCAAAGCCCGTCTGAATTAGATTTTCAAGTAGATTAGTAAAACCACACTAAAACTACCTAGGCACATTATTCAGAATTACTGAGAGCTAAGGCAGCTTAAATTTAAACTTATTTTTAAAAAGAATCTGGTTTAATTTAACTGAAGGTGCTCCCTCCCAAAGGAGAAAGTGTCCTCAGAGATGCAAGTCAGGACCTCTTACCCCAGGCAGGCACTCCTGCCGCCTGCTTTGTGCCAGCCTTGGCAGCTGTCTGGCCCCTTTCAGATAGAGTTTAATAAAAAAAATCCAAACAAAAAGCAACAAAACACCACAAAAAACCCCCCTGGCTGCCCCAGGCTCCCCCAGGTCTGCCACTAAACCATTTGGCTTTTTGCCAATCCCATCAGTTAAGTGAGTTCACTGAAAGGCTGCATTGTAGTAGAAGACACCTAACGCAGGGGGAGGAAGAGGAGGACGAGGATGCTGAGAGATCTGTTAGGCAGAGAGCTATTAAATCAGCTCATTTTCTAATTGCTCACAAAACCCGATATTTAGACAAATCTCTGTTTTGAAATTGAGGGCAGAAGCTCTCCTGTGACCAAGAACCTGAGCAGCGCCTTTCGGAGACGTGTGTCATTGTGCCTGTTTGCTATCAGCTTCCCAGATCAAAACACAAACTCTGCCTGTGATGTCCTAGTTAATCAAATAGACAAACAGTTATTCAACACCACTGGACTACATCAATACCACACTGAACTGCAAAAGTAAAAGTAATGTATTTTTGCGTGGCATTTTCTTGCCTTTTTGGCAGATGTTAACACTGTTCACTTTGACCCAAAGGTCCAGGACAAGGCGCTGCTGTATTACGTTTGGGTTCTGAACCACCACGGTCATGCAATTATGGATAAGGCAACTGATTCATGTGGTTCTTAAAATAAGACCACTATCCCTCATGGCTAGCAGGCTAGCATGCTGCCAGCCATAATCATATTTACATATGGTTGTAGGATGGATCTGGTCTAGCTTGGACGATGCTGAACTCCAAAAGCTTTTAAAAATAGCACTAAGAGGTGAGAAAGTACTCAAAAGCTTACTTTTTAAAGAGCAAAACCAAAAAGAAGTCTATGTAAAAGCAAGTATTTATCACTGGCAAGAAATCATGCTATTGCTAGGAATTAATTTTCTACTGCAGCTCATCAGTAGGAGCACGCATCTGCCAAAGGTTTTCGCTATAGGGTCAAAGCCACAGAATCTACTTGAATTTGCCATGAAAGAAAACGTTAAGTAGAACTTACCTTGAGTCCGTTTGCTGGACACAGTCAAAGCTTCCCTGAGGATTATCTTTGCCAACATTTGATAAGTCGAAGTTAAATACATGCACTTCGTTTGGCACATCAACTTTGGGAATTTTAATAAGCTAAAAGGAAAAAAAAAAAACAAACTTTATGTAAAAGAATTTAATCTACAGTCCTTTGCTCGTGAGTAACCAGGACCATAATTTTAAATGAGAAACTGTGGTTTTTAAAGTTTTGATATTATTTTAGCCACGACACTAAAATGGCTGCTTTGGGACAATTCTCCAGCTGAAAGCCGTGCTGGTTACGTGTCTGTCACAGCAGTAACTGCCCTGGAAAAGCTACGGTCACTCAGCCTCTAGTTCAGCAAAGCATCCAAGTAGCAAGTCATCTTTTCCCATTTAGGGGAATTAACAGGCACGTGCTTAACTTTAAAGGCAAGTGCCTGAGTATAATCCATCAGACCAAAGCCAAGCTAACAAAACAGACCAGAGCAATCTGCACCGACACTGTCCCCACTCTGCGACTTATTTGGTCCTAACGAAGCACATACGGGAGTCAACTCCCTGAAGGAAACAAAACCCAGCAACACCCAAATTACAAGAGTAAAACTTCTTAGGTTAAAAAATAATAATTTCAACTCTAACAGGCACTAAAAGCCTTTTTCAGTTACTCAGCTCTAGATGCAATTATTTGCATAAATGTGAAATGTTAGTTTAATAAATAGTTTTTATAAGTTTAGTCGGATGTAACAAAACTTGATTTCCTTGGCTGAACTAATCACTCAGTACAGAATGTGCTGCATTCCGCTGGAGCTTAAAAATGTAAATACGAGAAATCATTAAAATGTTTATTGGCATAAGCAGATTTTTCAATGTGCTGCTATACAAAACAATATCAAAGCACAAAAAACTACCACCATCTAACTGCTTTATTCTGAAGGTAAAAGTAGTTTGTAGTAAACATAAAAAAGCTATTCGTCTGAAATTTGCTTGAATTTTAATGGACTATTAAATATAACTGACAAAGGAAGATATGTAAAAGCAATATTCAACAGTCTCTTAGAAATCTTTCTCTCAGTAGTTTGCTTGTGAGATTGGCCAGTTTTCACAAACATCGATGTCATTTGCATAAAGTGCTACTACAAAGCAACTCCTTTTTGATGATATTTTAATCATCAGTACTGGCAGAGCTTACCAACAGCTTGGGACAGTGACTGGACATGAAGGAGAAAGACACGTCACTTGAACACTGTATTCTTTTACCTAAGCTTAAAGTACCACCATGCTTAAAAGAGCATTCTGTGCATTTTATATAAGAATGGAAATAAATTGGATACCTTACCAAACACATAATCTTGGGTTATATATGCAGCTTTACCTTTTAATGATTATAAAGGTTATTGTAGAGTAACCATCAACCTAAGAAGACCATAGGGGCCCAAATGATACTAAAATTAAACTACATTCTATAAAACTACCACTGATTAATGTTTCACCGTGCTGGTTTTATACACACACCTGCTGTATTCAAAGTATGATTCTGACAATTTGAATTCAACCCACTGTACAAGAGACAATGTTTTTTTAGCCTGATATGCAATTTGGAAAAACAACAAAATATCTTGTGATGAATCTAAGGCTGGCCCCCAAGAAATACAGCTGAACAGAGAGAGGCAGGTAACTGTTTCTATGTACGCTTGGACTTTGTTCTCAAATCTTATTTTGAGACAGACTTCATTTTCCACTGATCAGCCTAAAGAATGTATATGCACAAAATCACTTTAAACAGTAGGAATTTCTGCACCCTAATGTTTGTATTTAAAATCTGGGAAGAATTGCCACAGGTATTAAACCATTAGAGTGGCTCAATGTGTTTTGATGCAATAACATGAAGAGAGAAGCTGGTTGTAGAGCACATTTAAAAACATGTTTTTTGCTGTTACACTCTTCTCAGTGAGGTCTTATTTCTCCCAAATATTGGAAGAGACACTGATAAAGTAGGCAGAAAAACAAGTCTGTCTCCTTACAGGCAGATGCCTATGAAGCTTATCCCCAACAAGGAGCAACCTCGAGTGGAAAGACTGAATATTTTAAAGCTCCCCACCCCATACAAACCCTGTAAGAAAGACAATGATGATGAGGGAACCAGCTACTGCAACCATTGCAACAAGTTTCTTTGCATGAGCAAAGAAAAGGCCTAGAAATTTACTTTCATTCTCAAATTTTTAGGATATATTTTTAACAAACTTCAGAAGAACTAGATGACCATTCCTCAGGCATTCATTAATTTGGATTAAGAGAATGCATGAATGGCAGGGGAATATCTCTCTACTAGAAGATTTCAAAAGCGGCAGTGCAACTAACATCAGAATAAAAATTTAACTCTTCATCCTCAGTTCCAAAGTTTTATTATCTCATCTGTAACGCAGCAGACACAAGCCTTTAATTTCTGTGAACTTTTTTTTTTCAGACCTGTTCAGAATATTAACACAACCAAAAGCTTTCTCCCTTGAACAAGCAAATTTACTGAAGTCTGAGATAATTTAGATAAACCAGTTTAATAAACCTGGGAGAAACTCTGAGGGGGG